TTTGTTAAAGGTTAGCCGTGATATTCATATAGGCTACTGTATTTATCCAAATGTGCTTAAATGTTGTATACCTGCTAGTTTTGTTCTGCTCTTTCTATTGGTTGAGTTCATTTCCTCATTTTGTTACTTTTAAACACTCGGTGCCAGTACGTGTCCTCATCAACTTCGGAAACGGCAAGTCTATATATGGAAAACAAATGTATTAGGACTTAAAACATTCTCGACTGATTAAGACGGCACGAGTATATAAGTTATAGCCGCCAGTATGACGGTGCATGTATTTGTTGTTTATTTGGAAACTGCAAATATAGATATGATTGTCTTGGATGACAATGAACAATTGTGGGATATTTTCCGACGTCGGAACTTCTAAATACATAACAACATATTCTTTCAAAAGTGAGCTTCATTTGCAAAGTTTGGTGTGAAATGATAAGAGTTTGATTACGTCACACTTATCTATGATTGGTTATATGTGGTCAACATCAGGAAATTACTGTGACCTCCTATATATACTTTTTGTATACAACGTCAGGGCTTAATCAATACATAGTGATTCGTAAGATCATTTGGGTCATGCAGCAGCTATATATACAGCCAAAGGGCAAAGCGCATAAACCAAGAAAATTACACGACAGTATATTGTAAATAAAATTGGTAAGTTTTTATCACCTTATAGCTAGCAATCTGAAAATCAATTAGAAATCTATGCAGGATATAGTGATCGAATCAGGTTCATTATTGCGATATTAAATTCTTACTGACAATAAATAGAAAACGTTTTCCTGTTTTGTTACCGTTTTAGGCGGATGATTGTGAAATAATTTCTTGTCATAACTTGGAAGATTACCGTAGTTTTAGAAAGTAAATATTAAAGCCATCATGGAAAATGTGGAAAGCTGGGATTCCAACCGAGTGGATGTTACCGGCACAAACACACAGGAATAACAGTGATTGCTTTTCAGAGTGTATTATCCATACATTCACTAGACTATACCATGCAGTTTGGTTGATTGGTTAAATTGGATGCATGCATGGTATATTTGATAGCATATCGAAACTGGCCAGCAATACCTCTGTCGATTGTAATGCGATGGCAACAGTATATAAACCCGCATTTTCCTTTTTTAGTTACTGCACATATATAGTCACAGATTTATTATGGTATTAGGAACTGGAGTAGCTGTATGTACTACTACTATAAGGCAAGGTGAATTAACATATTAACGAAATAAACACATCTCCTAAATATCCAGTAAAAATAGAGAAAACTATGATAGTTCTATACCTGTATAAATGTTCTGTAATCCAAGAGAAGAATTGTCTAGCTAAGATCATATAAATCCAGTTGGTGTCACCAAATGATATTATCACAAATTCCTGAAACAGTAACGATGGCATTCAATGAGTTGATTTGAGGGGAAGATAAAGTATGTAAACATGCATGCAGAGTCTATACCCTAACAAGGTTTTACCCGGTGTGATGATAATCACCAACTGGATTTAAATGATCTTAGTTGCAAAATTCTTCTCTTGGATTACAGAACATTTATACAGGTATAGAACAATAATTTTCTCTATTTTTACTGAATATTTAGGCGATGTGTTTATTTCGTTAATATGTTAATTCACCTTGCCTTAATTCTGAGATGTTATTAACACTTTCATTTTTGCACGCGCGCAATTTGTTGTAATTATTTTGTTTACTTCGTTAATTTACTGCGCCTTGTAGTAGTACATACAGCTGCTTCGGTACTAATGCCATAAAACACTGCACAAATGAGAAATCTGTGACAATGTACAACAACAAAGAATACGAGTATATACTATTGTCATTGATACAATCGACATGTAGAGGTAAATTAGATCTATCGCATTTATTGCTGACCAAATTTGATATGCTATCAAATTTAATATTTCATCTAATTTAATAACCAATTAACCAAGTTGATAGAGATTTGCAAATGTGTGGATAATATACATTGAACAACAACGCTGTTTTCCCCGCGATGTGTTTTTTTTTGTAACATCATCTGGTCGGTTCTAAAAATACACACTGTTTCCATCGTAACCTAGCAACAACATTTCTTTTGTTTTGTTTATTGCTATGTTTATATCGCGGATTAAAGCGTAAACACTTAATTTTCATATCCTTTCGCAGCAATTATTTTCACACATGATGTGCGTGGTACGGTTAGTTCGTGATAAAGCCCATGCGTATACGTGCCTTCCATCTCTGCGAGGAATGTCTCATTATAATTTTGCCTCAGTCACATCATGTCATTATAGTCTATCAAGATATTACGATGGTCTATATGAAGCGCGGCAAACTTAAAAGTCATAAAATACAAGGCCGTTGTCTTGTTGTGCTAGTTCATTGCACTTGGACTTTGTAGCTCAGTGGTCAGAGCGACAGTGCACCGAGAATCGCAGGGCCACAGTGGCGATTCCTGTCGGAAGGCGTATAGTATAGTTGTATTTTTCACAACAACCGCAGGCTAGGTCTAAAATATGTACCATACATATAGTTTTAGTTCAAAATTTCAAACTGCAAAAACCCTCAACATAACAATTATATGCAACTTTTTTCACTTTATATTACAAAGTTTAATGATTTCCTATTCATCATGGTTGCACGTTTCACCTCAGCTATCCCTATACGTACCTATTGGACCGTAACCGTGCACAAATTAACATAAACTCAGACAAAAACATCATACCTTGACTCCTTGAGAGACTATCGTCCGTATTCTAAAAGCTCACTCACACTCACTGAGTGAAAGTTCAATCTGAGCTTTTCTTGAGTGCCAATGCTGTTTTTGAATAGCTAGAGAGTAAGTAGGCACATAGTAAGGTATGACACTAACCCTCCAGCTATTCAAAAACAGCAATGACACTCAAGAGAAGCTCAGATTGAACTTCCACTCATTGAGTGTGAGTGAGCTTTTAGAATACGGACGAATGGCATGATGGAAGAATGTTTGCGCTTTGATTGCACCCGATAACAGTGCGCGGGTTTCTCTGGGAAGGGGGGAGGGGGGTTAGCGTCTCAGCGTGCACAGTATAAATGTTGATCTACATTGATTATGCCATGATATATTCAAGAACATGAAAAATAGCGTTGTTGATCTTATCATGATTAAATTCATTGGTGACAACTGACAAGCAGCAGTAGTAGTATACGGGTACATTTAAAGGTTGCGATTTGTCGTGCACGACTCGTATTCTGGTGTATGTGATCGAATAAGCACGCGTAAAGACCAATGAGTAGTTTGCCATCAACTAAATGAAAGGGACGGTAATTTCCAGGATTATTGGGAATCTCACTCGATTGAACTAAAGTTGAATGATTTTGTAGATGGAAATCTCGAGTATGAATTTTATACATTTATAAGACCTAACTAGGAACAGTTGTGAAAAATACAACTACAGGTCCTCTCGCAGGAATCGAACCTGTGATTCCAGTGCAGTGCTTGAACCAACTGAGCTACAGAGAGACACTTGTCGAGCTCTAACCAACTGAGCTACAGAGAGACACTTGTCGAGCTCTAACCAACTGAGCTGCAGAGAGACAGTTGTCGAGCTCTAACCAACTGAGCTACAGAGAGACAGTTGTCGAGCTCTAACCAACTGAGCTACAGAGAGACAGTTGTCGAGTTCTAGCCAAGTGAGCTACAGAGAGACAGTTGTCGAGCTCTAACCAACTGAGCTACAGAGAGACAGTTGTCGAGTTCTAACCAAGTGAGCTACAGAGAGACAGTTGTCGAGCTTTAACCAACTGAGCTACAGAGAGACAGTTGTCGAGCTTTAACCAACTGAGCTACAGAGAGACAGTTGTCGAGCTCTAACCAACTGAGCTACAGAGAGACAGTTGTCGAGCTCTAACCAACTGAGCTACAGAGAGACAGTTGTCGAGCTCTAACCAACTGAGCTACAGAGAGACAGTTGTCGAGCTCTAACCAACTGAGCTACAGAGAGACAGTTGTCGAGTTCTAGCCAAGTGAGCTACAGAGAGACAGTTGTCGAGCTCTAACCAACTGAGCTACAGAGAGACAGTTGTCGAGTTCTAGCCAAGTGAGCTACAGAGAGACAGTTGTCGAGCTTTAACCAACTGAGCTACAGAGAGACACTTGTCGAGCTTTAACCAACTGAGCTACAGAGAGACAGTTGTCGAGCTCTAACCAACTGAGCTACAGAGAGACAGTTGTCGAGCTCTAACCAAGTGAGCTACAGAGAGACAGTTGTCGAGCTCTAACCAAGTGAGCTACAGAGAGACAGTTGTCGAGCTCTAACCAACTGAGCTACGCAGAGACAGTTGTCGAGCTCTAACCAACTGAGCAACAGAGAGACAGTTGTCGAGCTCTAACCAACTGAGCTACAGAGAGACAGTTGTCGAGTTCTAACCAACTGAGCTACAGAGAGACAGTTGTCGAACTCTAACCAACTGAGCTACAGAGAGACAGTTGTCGAGCTCTAACCAACTGAGCAACAGAGGCCAGTTGTTGAGTTCTAACCAACTGAGCTACAGAGAGACAGTTGTCGAGTTCTAACCAACTGAGCTACAGAGAGACAGTTGTCGAACTCTAACCAACTGAGCTACAGAGAGACAGTTGTCGAGCTCTAACCAACTGAGCAACAGAGGCCAGTTGTTGAGCTGTAATTGCAACAAGCCGTTGACAACAAGCAGTAACTGGTTTACGCTGTCAAAGTTTCTGTGAATGTGATCACAGTGGACTGTTTGACAAGAGTCTATTCCCTCAAAGATTTACCTGTGCAAAATTTGTAGTGTGATCACAGAAACTTTGATAGCGTAAACCAATCTTGGAACGGAACCCTGAATGATGACAGAGATCGGGAGGGATGATGGGACGTACCACTACCACCACCGAGACTGGACTTAAAAAATCCAATATACAATTAGACCCTATATGAACGCAATTTACGACGCAAGTCTAGACATTTTTATTTTATCAGATATAAATAATAAATAGAGTATTGACTCAGCTCTTACCCGATGTTCCCGTCGCCGTGGTAACGATTTCGACATCGCTCCTACTGATCGTCTGCGAATAAAAGATGGCCCTTTTCCTGCAGCCGGACGGGGTTTCTGTAAACGTGGAATCTTTTGATTTAAGTAACGTTTTCATAAAGATACTTGGCCCAGCTAGTAATGCCATGAAGCCCAAGCAAAACCCTTGCGCTGGGGTGATTTCGTCGCGAAAAATGAACACTTGTCTATCCAGAAATGATTTCGAGATCGCGTAGACCAAAGAGTGTAGATCAGCGATACAATGTCTGAACTCCAGAACAATTATACTACTGGTGTTATCCCCAAGGTTTCCATTACTCGAGTACAAATAGACCTGCCATTCGTTACAGTTTGAAAACCGTTGTAGGTTAACGACATTGCCCTCCGTTGTAAATAAACAAGCGCTTTCCAGGTCGGCTTGTATGACAGTTTTGCGACATTCGACATTATTCTCGATCCAAACCAACTCGCGAAAGACACGCTTGGGTGTTCTGTTTAATCGCTTGAAATTAGGGGCCCTCTCTTCGAAATGACCTTCGTTATCGTAATTTAAACGGTTGTGAAGTAGATATTCAACATTTTCACAGCTAAGTCGGCCTTTTACAGCCAGCAGTAAAACTACATTTGGCGTTTGACCTTCGTAACTGGTCAGAAACCAGAAGTTCTCGGATCCGCTGCCGTATTCGGCTTTCGCATTTTGCCACTTTATTCGCACAAAAACTAGAATTTTCTGGACGAATTTTGCAAGCAACGAGACCGGTATTGCGATGAGCAAAAACGCATACGTGAACACGAAGACCAATATATTTAAAAAGCACGCAGCGATGAATTTGGAAACGATTATATAGCCTGGTATCGCCAAAGGATGGCGAACTTTCGGGATTGTGTTCTTGGTAGATGGAGCCGACGACCCCGGTTTAACGCCAGCCATTTCAATCTATGCTAGATGTACAGTTATGAAGCCATTTCAGTTGTACGAATACGCCAGTCCAAATGTCATATTGCCACGGCTATTTCAATTTCTCAATTCCGTATTTATCTTAAGGCTGTAATATATATTCTATCAGTCTATCGACAGATTAAACTCTCTTGTGTGTAATCGTCAATGGCAGCATGACCATTCGCTCGAAACGGTTACATTTCACGCCATCGATCGATAAAACTCCTCATATTTCTACATTCACAGCTTTAATGTATTTCATAATTCAAAACACTTTCATATTTGTAATACAATGTCCATGGCATGAATATATAATCGTCGAATCACATAATTTACATTTCAAAGGGCCGTGCTAACTGGAACGATTATTTCAAGTGCAAGGCTTCGTTAAGATTTTTAATGAGCTCTTATTGAGCGGAAATAGGAAGATAAGTACAATGCTTTTGACGGAATGTTTCATTTCATAATTGCAATATGTTGCAATTTGTGTTAAGCTTTAAGAAAAATAATAATTTGCATGATCTTGATATAGGGGTGGCTCGTAATCGTATACGAGTTGCATCGGCTCTTCCCTGCTTTGAAATCCAGTGAAGATATGCTATTTAAGTTTAAGATAGGTTTACATGCACCGTCAAAAGTTTTTATGATCAAAGTGGGAGTTTTGCATCAGTAAATTCTAAATCGTGAAGGATTTATAAGAAGTGTTTGAACGAACGGAGTTCTTGTTTAACACTAAATCAATTCCCTCAAACATTTCTTACAAATCTTTTAAAACTTAGCATTACTTAAGGTTACAGGACACCTTTTTTGGCGTTTTGCGGAAAATCGCTACTGCGCGCTCAATATCAGTCCGATTTTCATCAAATTTTCAACAAATGTTCTCCAGTGCATGCAAAATATGGTAAAGTTGTAAAATTAACAAACAATAAAATAATGTAAGAATTATTCAGGAAAATCTTAAATCGCGGTACCGTTACGCTTTTGAGTTGTGCTCCTGCTGGTTTCTTAAATTTATGAAAATATCATTTTTATACAGTAAAATAGTTGTTCTAAAAAATTGTGTTCGGAAATTTTTGTTTATTTCGTCATTCCGCTGATATGGCGATTTCTTTGACGACTGCAATATATTTCTGAATTGTTTCAGTGAATTGCTCTTTATTTTTAGAATATCCAAAATTACAAAAAAGCCGAACACAATTTTGTAACTGACGTCTTTAGCTTTGTCCTGTGAAAATTTGAGAAAAATTGGTTAAAACCCGCGGGAGCACAACTCGTTTGAAAATCAGTAATTACTGTAAATTTTTGGGGAGAAAATTGAATTTGAATATTACATTTTCAATGTTTTCCTTATTGCAGCGAAATGTATTTTATTAAATAACTCTGCGAGTTTTCAACATTGTTCGTTCAAACTTGGTCAGATAGTAGAACTAGTCTAATGCTTTCATGGAAACCAATAAAAATTTTTGGGGCGAAATTAACACTCAAAGGTGTTCTGTAACCTTAAGCAAAATCCAAACTTATCACAGAAAAGTTGAGGGAGGCTTTGCATTGGCGATAATGATAGTATTTTTTCAGCTCTGAATACGAAACTGTGGTTCTGTTCAGAAGATCGATATTGCTCCAGTGATCCGTGCATTAAGAGACCCGAGACCTCACTAAACTTTATTTATACTGGATAGCTCTACCAGTTCTAAACTGTTCTTCCCATGGACTATATCTCTAACGGTTAATGAGTTCAAACGACAGAAGGAAACCGAATTATCCGGAAAAACCTGTGGTGTTTGAGGAAATAGAAAGCGAAAGAGATGACTTTTTATATTGCCTCTCTGTGTCCGTTCCAAGTTTCCTAGTCAAGTGGTGGAAAATATATTTTACTTTTTGAGTCCGCAAGAGAATTTTTTGAATATAAACAGGAAATCCACACACTGTAACTGTGTGCTATTAACAAGTTGTCAAACTGGATGTCATAACAGAAATATTTTAGTGCACTGAGAATCTTAATATTGTTAGGAATATAACATAAAACTAATCAAGGGTCTGATCCTATAAGATATTAAATAAACACGCCAAAAAATGGGCACTATCAGGGGGTCCGGAGGTGATCTGAAAATCGAAGTAAAATCACTTTACATCACAATCAAAAAAAGTCTTCTTTTGCGCATAACACACGCAACGATATTTATTCAACACAACACATCGTCATAGAAAAACTTTTAACAATTTTTATAGTACCATGTTCTTGACCAAAAACGCTTGTCTATAAACGAAATGAAAAATACACAACAGGCAACAGGATACGCTGCTCAAACCGTTTAAGTATGTTCTTTTAATTTTAAACCCGTTGACACTATAGAGTTTTTGTCACGAAATACAATTGTTGTATGAATGTTGTTGATTTTTCTTTCGTCGCTATATGTAACAAAACGCTTAATGTCTGACTAACCCCATCTTTATAGTAAAAAACCTCATCTTGGTCAACTTTTTCACTGTGAAAGTTTCCAGATATGAGCTAATGAGGTCATTAGGTGAACGTTTGGTACAAAAAAACATAAGGAAAACTAATTTGCAATTCACCTAATGACATCCGGAAACTTTGACAGGGAAAAAGTTGATCAAAATGGGATTTTTTATTATAAAGATATATTACATTTCTTCTTCAAATGACCCGAATATTACACAAACCAAAAATCAACTTCGGGGTTACTTCACACTTTAACGTCTGTATGTTTCCTCAGGAAATAGTTTCCCTAAGAATCTCAAACGTTCAGAAAGAAACTCAAGAAACATGGTACGATATACTACTTTAGTTCAGTAAACGTTTTTATCACTGGCTAGGCTATCTTGAAATCGCAATGCATTCTGGTTTATCCAGGGTTATTGACTTTTGGGTGGGATTTTTTTCTCTGTTGCATAAATGCTAAAGGAAAGGTCATTATTTATGGCGAAGAGAAAAGGTTGGGTAAACAAAATTTTGAGTGAGTAAAAGGTTGGTCAAATGAAAAACAAAACAACTCAAGGGTTGGGTAATACAAATTTATTGTCATTTCCAAAGCATGACTCACTCAAATATTGAAGACTAAAAAGCAATGTCAACAGTCATATGTCAATACAATATTTAAATCAATCAATCAATCAGAGTCACTATTTTGATCATTTCCCGAATTGTCAGGAGGCAAATGGTGTCTCCAAAGAAAGTACATGTGCAGACAACATGAAACTTTAGACTGCAGAAAATTGCACAAGCAGTTATCAAACTCATGTCACAGAAGTGGTAAAGGACATGTGTGACAACTGAACGGTATCATTTTGTAAAGTTTTTGGCCAGGGGTAGGTTTTTTTTTTAGTTGACATTTGATGTTGGGTAAATTTTTCCCCTTTTTAATGAAAAGACAAGCGCGCAATCTGGGCACAGAGTCGTGAGAAGATATCGTCAATATTGCTATGCCAAAAAAGTCCTATTCAGCCACAAACACACTTTTGATCCTGGCTAGACCAAAATGCAAGAGGGTACAAGATGGCGCCCAGTTTTGATAAAATACTTCGCACAGTACGAACACCACACAAAAAGGCATAACGTACGAAAATTATTCACATAAGTATGTACAATATATGGAGTTACCGATTTTCATTGCAATTCAAACTTTAGTTATCTTTGGGGCGAACGAGCATTTTCAACGAGTCTGAAAAGATGAAATAGTTGGAGATTACAAGAGAGTCATATTTATTAGACGTGTTTAGATCAAAATTTAGTCTAGAATGCAAATGGTCTATTAGCACCACAGATTATCAAACTGACCTGAAATGTTCCTTTATAATTTTTAATTTATCATCATCAACACTACAACTTAACACATCAACAATATTTTGGACGTCATTATAATTCTTGACCAACGTTTTGGGAGAGGACGTCACAAAGTCTCGACAGACAACAGAAAGAAACGAAAGCCTTGAAAAAATAAAACAAAACATAATTTAATCCATTGATAACTTTCATAGTCGAACCCCATTTCAAGCGGACTTTGGCACCTCACCAATATGTCTGCTTGAAAGGAGTGTCTTCTTAATAGGTGTTTGCAACAGCGAACACATCAGGAGTTAACGCCCAAGTAATTTAGGAACAGTAGTAATCAAAGGTAAACATGTCAACGGAGCTCCGTTGCTGGTTATGTTGTGGAATTTTTCTGATAGTTCAAGTTTCAAAGAGACAGTTTTTCTTGCAATTGTTTGAAAGACAAATTAAAGAAAGACAAGTTTGTTTTGTTTTTAGGAGATTATAGTTCGCTAGTTCATATATGGCATACAAATATTGCAAAACATCAATAACAGATATATGTATCTAGTGAATTTTCTTCAAATTGATTTTCACCATTGATTGTTATGAAAATTTGATTTATCATATTTATGTACATCAGTTACGTTTGTCCACTTAATAGAGATGTTTTTTTTCTTTTTTCTTCTAATCACTTCATGGCAAACTGATAGAATATTGACATTTAGCAAAAGGTGGCCACACAGGACCTATTAGTTCCAAGTGATTAGACAGGACATAGTCCCAACTGAATAGAGG